CTGGCGCTCAGCCTCCCGCGGCTGGAAAAGAGGCTGCAGGAGCCGGGGAGGGGAGCCCGGTGCCCAGGCCTCTGGACCGCGGCTCCCTTCCGCTGGTGCAGTCAGGTGCGCTCGGGTGTGCGTTGGTGGGCCGCGGACGCACCGCCGGTGGGTCCAGCTTCGCACCCCGCGGCCCTCGGCGCCACACCCGGAACCCGGCGAGGAGGCGGAGTCGCGTCTGCCCCGAAGCCGGACCCGAGGCACGCGGGCTCCGGGTGCACGCAGCAGGCTGGCCCGGCACCGGGGGGCCTCGCAGTGGGGACCCGGGGCGGGGATAAGGCTGGAAAGCCGAGGCCCCTGCCTGCCCAGGCCCGCGCACCCCAGCTGCCCGCTCCCCTGCCCGGGACTGGTTCCGGAGACGCCCCCCGGCCCCGAGCCCAGCCCTGCGCGGGGCCCGAGCCGCCGGCCCCGCCGGTCCTGACAGCCGCAGCCGGGTAAAGCTGCCTCCTTACTTTGTGCCTTTCTCTGCCAACCTGACGCACTGCAAACACGAACACCAGTCCGGAGGACGCGTGCAATGTGGCTCCCGCGCGGCCAGGGCCTGGACTGGCTCCAGGCAGCGTTTCTCCTGCCCAAGACAAGCCTGTTCTCTGGGGTCCGCTTGGAGCCAGCCCCTGCTGGGTTCCAAGGTCCCCACTTCCCATGTCCTCTCAAAACACGGCTTCTTGATGAACTCCCACTCTTAATACTGTCCCTAGCCTTTTAGTAATGCTATGTTCAGTAGTTTAGGGCTGGGAAGGTGGCTCAGGGGTAGAGTGCTTGCCCTGGGTTCGATTCCTCAGCACCACATAAGCAGAAAAGGCCGGAAGTGGCGCTGTGGCTCAAGTGGTAGAGCGCTGGCCTTGAGCTGAAGAGCTGAGGGACGGCGCCCAGGCCCAGAGTTCAGGCCCTAGGACCAGCACAGAAGAAAAAAGCAAGCCCTCCCTGTACAACTAATGCATGCTACCAAAAAACTCAGCCCCAGTGACACCACATCAACAATTCCAGGTTTATTTCCTTAAATTGACATTACACAGAGGGACATAAAAGGGGGGACTCACATAAAACTCATTTTAATATAGATGGGGAGGACGGGGGAGCCTGGACACTACTTTGTGGAGAACAGGATTTGCACCCAGCATCCATAACCAGACACACACGCGCACGCACACACACAGCTACCAGGAAACCACAGGACCGGGGGGCAGTGAGCCCCTCGGGTGCCCCCACACACACACACAGCTACCAGGAAACCACAGGACCGGGGGGCAGTGAGCCCCCTCCCTGCAGTCACTCCAGTGGTTCTGGACTTGCGGGCCAGAGCAGTAAATGTAACACTTCCATGCAACAAGGGGAGCCGGGGATGATGATAAAGGAAACTACTCTTGGGGGCATTTTCTTACTCATCCAAGCACAGTGGCAATATTTCAAGTATTGCAAAGAGAAACACTTGTGTCTGTGTCTGCCCTTTGGGGGAACCCCTGCTTGGAAGTGCAGACCCACATCTGCCTGTGGACACCCAGAGATACATTCAAGTAGGTTGGGACAGGGCCGAGGCCAGGCTGTCGGACCAGGGAGGCCAGGCAGTATCTGGCTCATGTCCACCACAGAGCCTAGAAGACAGGCCTCAGCACAGTCTCCAATGGGTGCGGGAGCCTTGCCATCCAAGCGGTGTTACACCTGATGAGGGAGGCTTTGCGTATGTGTTACTGTGCCCTCGCAAGGGAGCTGGACAGGACAGTGGGCGGACAGCTAGCGGAGGCACGTGTGGTCCCCGGCCTCCGGCAGCTCAGCACACCTGCACACCCGGCAGCGCCAGAGCCGCTCCAGCCCCCCACCTCGCCCCACCCCTCCAAAGCAATTTCTTAAACATCTAAGTCTCCTTCTTGAAAGAAAACATGAGCTTCAGGAAAATAAGACATTTTATACATAAAGTGAAAAGATCATGACAGGTGTTCACGGTATAGTGAGCTGGTGTTTCTGACTGTCCTTAAAATAACACTTAAATAACAGTACTCTCCTCCCCTCCACCCCCAGGGGAGCCTGTTCCGTTTTCCTTCTGAGGACCAAACACAGGCAGTGGCACACTCCAGGCTATTAATGTTTGTATCCAGGTATCTGCATATGTACAACACCTCAGACGGCGGGGCTGGGAACAGGAGCCATTTCCCAGTGGTCTCCTCCAGTCTCTGTCTACATAAAGTGCTTGGGTGACTTACAAAGCTGGGTGGGTGATTTCAGAGGGAGAGGTTCCTAGAGAGGTGGGGAGGCCAAAAGGCTATACCCCTTTTCCTGGGTGAGCCAGGGAGCCATGAGGAGAAGCTCGCTTTGGCTTGGAGTCAGCAACACCGTCTTAGGGCCTTGCCTACCCTTGGGGCTGTCCAGTGCACCTGCCCGCCACCTCTTGGCACCGTGACTGCCTGCCGGGGGAGAAGGCAGCCAGGAAGGACAAGCTCAGGAGGTCCTGTCTGGTGGGGCAAAGGCCCATTCCAGGTGTCCATCCTGCAGGCCACTGCCAGCAGAGAGGGCAGCTGAGGCGGTGGGGCGGGGCCAGGCCGGTGGCCTCAGGTGCTTGGCTCCACCTAGCATCATCACAGACGCTGGTAGGTGGCAGGCTCAGCACCATCAAATCTGTGCTGAGGTGCAGAGTCTGGCCAGTACACATCCTACATGTCTGCAGAGTCCAGCTCCGAGGACACCACAGCCAGACAGCAGAGGCTCAGGCACAGACGCCGGTCAGGAGGGCTGAGAGTCTCCGCTCGATGCACAGCTTGCCTGTGGGGGAGGAAGCATGAGTGTGGGGTGTGGGAAACGCTGCGTCTCCCGGCCCCCGGCCCCCCCCCAGCCACAGGGCTCCAGGCGCACTCACACTTGGCAATATTGTCGATGTCAGCCTGGTCCGTGAGCATGTGCTGCAGCCCCTCCAGCAGCAGCAGCGCCTTGTGGTAACGCGGCACACAGCCCTGGCGGTGCTGGAACAGCTCGTCCAGGGCGGCAGACTGCACCTGAGGCACAGATGCAGCTGAGCATGAGGCCCCCAGGGCTGGCCATGGCCAACAGGCCTCAGCCAGAGCCTCCGCCTCACACAGGGCACACGCACCGCAAGGGCCTGATCAGCACTGAGCCCGACAGCCAAGAGGCCGCTGCGAAGTGTTAGCTGTGGCCGCCATGGGGGCCCAGGTGACCAGGTGTGCCCTGTGTGGCCGCTATGGTTCTCAATCCCACCCTGGCAACAGGAGCAACAGTGCTGGCCATAAGGCTCACAGTTCCCCGGCCACCAGTGCCTCTCGGACCACCGTGGTGACCACCACACCCCAGCGGCCAGTGGATAAAGTCCCCAATGCCTTTACTCTGAAGGCCACAGCATGGACACACTATGTGTTCCAAGTACCTCAAAACCGCTAATAAAGGCCAGGCCACCAACTTCCCACAAGGCACAGAAGATAGGCCTCTCGCTCGTTGCTAGCATCTTGGGCCACGGCGCCAAGCCCCTGCGCCCCGTACCATCTGCACAGCGTGGTTGAGGATGAGCCTCTCGGCCGTGACGCTGTGAACGCCGTCCAGCAGCCGCTGCTTGTCCAGGAGGAAGCGCTGCAGCCGCAGGCTCAGGCCTTGGCAGGACTCCACGCTGGCCTTGTATAGCTCATTCAGCCTGCGCACCACTGCAGGAGGAGGGCCGCGGTCAGCTCAGCCTCTGCAGAGACCGGCAGACCTGCAGGAAGAGAGCTCAGCAAGGGCAGGCTGGGGCCTGGCGAAGAGGAGGAGACGCGACAGGCCCATCCATCTCGCCCCTTGCCGCCAGTCCCCAGCAATCCTGACCTTGGATGCAGCTCAGAGTTGTGTCCAAGATGTCCCGCGCCCACATCCTCTGCCCAGCACCAGACTGCGCAAGCTCTCGGCGCCTGTCTGCCCTGGGCCTACGACTCCTCCCTGCTCTCTGCTCTCACCCTGCTTCACTGTGGACGACAGGCAGAGCTTGCCGGCCCGGATCTGGCCGATGGCTGTCTGCAGGCCAGAGGACAGCAGCTCAGCCGCCTTCAGGTACAGCACGAGTTGCTCTGCGAAGCTGAGGGGAACGGGCAGGTCAGAGGCAGTGCAGACCCAGGCCGCCCCCCCCCGCACCCTGGCAGCACTCACCCCCACTCCCGGCTCAGCAGACTGATCTGGTCGGCCACCATGCTCTCCTGAAGCTGGTACTCTGGGCCCCCAGCCGCGTCGCTGGCCTTGCCCTTCAAGGCTGCAATCTCCAGCACTTGTTGGACGAACACGAGTGTGAAGCGCAGGCTGTGCAGAGTCTCTGTGTGCTCTTGCTGGGGAGGACTACAGGTCAGGCCCTGGAGGGCTGGGATGCTTTTGCTGCAGGGGAGAAGGGCAGACCCCCCCCCCCACACTCCAGCCAGGGACCCTGGGCCTGACCTCCATGAGGGTCTCCTCAGGAAGGTCGGGGGCCTCGAAGGTCACGCCCCCCTCCAGGTTGTCGGCAAAGCTGTAGCAGTGGCCCGGGGCGGGGAGATCAGGGGCCTCGCTGCAGGGCCCAGGCACCAGGTGGCGGGCAGAGGAGGGACCTGCGGGGCCCAGAGCCCGGGAGCCTGCTGTGAGAGACGAGGTGCTGTGCCCCCCCCCCGTGGCGCCCAGGGATGGGGACCCTAGGGTCCAGAGGGCCTCCGCCTGTGCCTGATGCAAAGCAGGGCACACAGGGTGGGCTGGGCCAGTCAGAGGGCCCAGGTCACCACCCACAGAGCTGCCCAGAAGTAAGGAAGTTGGAGCCATGTGGGTGCCAGGCGAGACTGGACGCTGGGGGAAGAAAGCCAGGCGGCCACGCCCTCACCACAGGGGTGGCACTGTCCCAGCTCCGGAGGTGCCCGGGTGGCACCACTGGGCTGTGTACGCTGATGACTGGAGCAGTCTGCCTGGGACGAAGAACTGGGCGGAGGGACCCACCCCGAGGTGCCGCTCAGCCTCACAGCCCTTACCTGAGAACATTCTGGTGCGGGAGGGGCCTTGGGGTGGCGTGGTCCCGCTGGGGGGAGAGCCCACAGTAAACACTACCGGGGATGGGCTGCTGGCCCCCCCAGCGCGGACTCCTGGGTGCAGGGTCCCTCCGGAGCCAGCCGAGGGCGCTGGGGGACAAGGCAGGCTTAGGGCCTGGTCGGGGGCTGCCCCGCCCCCACCCCTCTAGGCCCCTGCCTACCAATCTCCATGGGCTTCTCCTGCAGGCTGTCTGTGCTGCCTGAGTTCGAAGCCTGGGTGCCAAAGGCAGCCTTCAAGAGCAGGTCCGTGAGGCGGCTGCTGCTGAAGGACCTGCGTGGCGGCAGGGAGGGGTTTGCGGGAGGGGCCAGCAGGGGGCGGCAGGGAGGGATGTGCGGGAGGGGCGGGAGGAAGGCGGTCTGGGCCCCTCGCGTGGCTGGCCCACTCCACTCAGCCACCATAGCCCTATCTTAGATGGGGAAACTGAGGCGCAGGTGAGCAGCCCTGAACCAGGGTCCCGATGCCTGCCACACTGGGAAAGCCGCAGCAGCAGACACTGAATCCAAAGCCAGAGTCAAGCCAGGCACTGGTGGCTGGCGCCTATAATCCCAACTACTCAGAACTGAGGCTGAGATCTGAGGATCACAATTCCAAACCAGCCTGGTCAGGAAAGCCAAAAATACGGTGTAGCTCAAGTGGTAGAATGTCAACCTTGACCAAAAAAGCACCCAGGCGGAGTTCACACCCCAGGACCAACACACACACAAAACCAAGGCAAGACAATGCCAGGACACAGCCCGCTCCCCCACTCACCGGGCAAAGGGGCCCCGGGCTTCTTCAGCGGGCCTCAGGCCGGGGCCCAGCGGCTGTCCCTGGAAGGGCCCGGCCTCTGAGAGATCGGGCAGCGTGCGGTTCCGAGGGGGCGGCACCACTACACCCTGCCGCGCCAGCAGCGCCAGCAGGTTCTGGGAGCTGGGGGCCTTGGGAAAGTCGAAGGAGGGCCCGGCCTGGGAGGAAGCCAGGGGCTGAGAAGGCTCGGCTCCCGGGAACAACACACCGGCCTGAGGGGGCCCGTGCCGCGCCTGTGCCAGGCCGGGCAGGCGTGTATGTGTGCGGGCTTGAGCCTGAGCAGGAAGGGGAGCCGCAGGGCGGGTTCCCCACCTCACCCCCGGGGCTTGGGGCTGTGGGAAGCGCCTGTGGTTACCTTGGTGGGGGAGCCCAGGATTGGGGGCAGGGGGCTCCGCTGCAGGAAGTCAGGCAGCTTGGGGGAGCCGCGCAGGGGATGGCAGGATGGCAGCACGGGGCAGGGCTGGGGGGCGCTGCTCTGCGGGGGGCTGAACGTGGCCCCCAGCGGGTCCGCGGGCGGCTTGGACAGCTTGGGGCGCACGACGTGCAGGTCAGACAGGTTAGGGGCACTGTGCAGACGGCAGCCCAGACTGGCCGTGCGAGAGGAGTGCTCCGGCACAGAGGAACCTGGCGCGGGACACGGACTCCATTACCACCCTCCGGTCCCTGCACCGGGCTCGCTGGAGCACACACACAACTAGACACGACCACTCCGCGCCAAAGGGCAGCACTCTCTGGACCCCTCACCCCAAGACTGCTTCCCCTCGCGGTCACCAGGACCCCTGACCCCTCACCCCCAACCAGTCTCTGCTTTCAACCTGCGGAAACGGGCACGGAAACACTGGGCAATCTGCCTCACTCAATACACAGCCATGTTTCTTCCATGGCCAGCAGCCATGCCTGCCTGCCAGCCGGCCGGCCGACACTCAGGCCCAGGGCAGCACCGCACTCACCTGCTCCAGGGGCCCGGAAAGCTCGCGTCTCAGCTGCTTGTGGTGAAGGCTCCCGGCTCCAGCCAGGCCGCTCGGGAATGGTCCCCACTGGGAGGGAAGGACCGTGGTCAGACCAGGAGAGACCACAGGCGCTGCACGTGGGCCCATGCACACAGGGCAGGGGCGCTAGGGGACTGTGGAGAACATCCAACTCACCTTGGGGAGATGGTGTGTAGGGCCGGCCCCCACCCAGAGACAGCTTCCTGGCCTGGATGGCTCCGTCAGCGTGAGATGGGGGAGATGGGCTGGCCCGGGCAAAGCTCAACGAGCTGCGGACGGTAGAGGACCTGCAGACAGGGCCCTGCCCGTCACAGCCAGCAAGGCTGCGGTGAGAACACCCACCACCATGCTGTCCACATGATGGACGGCCTTTTCAAGAGGCCCTGAAGCCCAGAGCCATCCCTGTAAATGCCAGCCCCAGCTGCCCCATGGAGACAGAGAAAAATGCCTCTCCCTGCCACCTCCTTCTGTCAAAATTAATACAACTTTGTGAACTGGGGACACCTCCATATGTCACTAGAGAATGAGAGGGCTGGGAAGGTGGCTCAGTGATGAGTGCTTGCCTTGCGTCCATGAGGGCCTGGGTCCGATTCCTCAGCACCACATAAACAGAAAAGGCTGGAAGTGGCGCTGTGGCTCAAATGGTAGAGCACTAACCTTGAGCTGAAGAGCTGAGGGACAGTGCCCAGGCCCTGAGTTCAAGCCCCAAGACCGACAAAAAAAAAAAAAGAACTCTAGAAAGTAGGGCACTGGGGGCTCACACCTAGCTGCTCAGGAGGCTGAAATCTGAGGATCATGGTTCAAAGCCAGCCCAGGCAGGAAAGTCCATGAGACACTTATCTCCAATGAACCACCTGAAAACCAGAAGTGGTGCTGTGGCTCAAGTGGTAGAGCCCTCGTGAAGCACCCAGGGACAGCACTCAGGCCCAGAATTCAAACCCCACAACCCACAAAAAAAAGCAGCTCAGGGACAGTGTCCAGGCCTTGAGTTCAAGCTCCAGGTCTGCCAAAAAAAAAAAAAAAAACACAAAAAAAACCATGACTGAGAACAACAACAGAAAGAACTCTAGGATCTGCGTGAGTGCGCATGCATATGACCCTGTGGGCCTCTCCCAGGGCCCGCAGTGGGGGGACACCCACCGGGCCTGGAGCTGCGTGGGTGACTGCAGGTTCTGCTCGATGCGCTGGTAGTTGTGCACCTGAGTGGGGACTGGGATGGGGACCGAGCCGCCACACCTGCCGCTGCAGAAGGGCCCAGCCCGGCTGTGGGAAGAGAAATTGGACCACTGGAGGAGGGGCAGGAGGAAGCCCAGGGCAGAGGCTCCAAGCGGGCCCCGCAGGGCCCAGGCTCCACTCTGCTCCTACACAAAGGCAGGAGGCAGGTCATCCGGCGTCACCCCACCCCAGCCCCCAACAGCCATTCCAGGGGACAGGGCAGCCATCTAGCCTCTGGAGCTGGCGGTCTCCCCAGTCCACGGCTGCAGTGACTCAGGGAAGCCCAGCCAACGCCCAGACCAGCTTACCCTGAGGGGCTGGGGGAGCTGCTGCAGGTCGGGGAGGGAGATGGAGTGCGGCCGCGGCTCTCCAGGCCAGCAGAGGCCACCAGCGAACTCCTGGTAGGAGAAGGGACAGGCAGGCTCCCTTGGGTTGATGTGGCGCAGACCCCAGCTCTCCCTCACCCCAAGGTTTTGGGTTTGGGGCTTTTTTGGGGGGTGCAGTGCAGCAGGCTGGATCCTTTCCAGCTGGCCCGGCCCCAAGCTGGGGTTGGAGCACAGGACAGCACAGGCCGCTCTGAAGGCCCGGCTCTCTGTGACTGGGTGCTGGAGACTTACCCGCTGCACAGCAGGCTGTCCGGTGGGGGCTTGGCGCTGGCCACCTCAGCCACCAGGTCACCTGTGGGGAAGGGAAGACATCTGGCCGGGGGTCCCTGTTCTCCTGGGCCAAGCTGACCCTTTTCTCTATGAGTAAGGAGGGAGCCATGGCAGGGAAGGGCTGGCTTGAAAGGTGGCTTTGGGGACTGAGAACTTAGTGGCTACTGAGGACTCTGCTAAAGCCGGCTGCAGAAACAAGTCATTGGTTCCAGGTAGACACAGGTGCAGCCAGGTCCCGGAATGAGGAGCCGGTGGGAAGGAAGCCAAAGCAACCTTCACAGCAGCAGCCGGGCAGGAAATGGCTCTGAGGCCGGCAACTCCCCCAGCAGAGGCTGGCTGGTCCCTGCGCCCTGGGACACGCCCCACACTGAGTCTCAACCCCTACTGCAGCAGGCCTTCGGCTTCCACAGTGAACAGACCTGGGAACTGGGCTGGGACCATGACAAAGTCATCCGTGTCACACGAATCCTTGCTGCTGCCGCCAGAGTCCCGGGAGCCCCGCAGGAAGCCGGCGGCGTCGGCCGGGGACGTCAGGGTCTTCTGAAGCTGTGCCATTTCCCCCAGGGACTGGAGGACAGAGGAAGGGTCAGCGAGGCAGCTGGGGGACCTGAGGCACTGGTGTGATGACCCTGTGCCCGCCCTCTCACCCCCACCCGCAGCGGTCCAGGGCGCAGGCACCCAGGGCCCCAGCTGCCTCTGCCAAGCCACTCACCGGCGGGGAAGCCAGGTGGGATGTGGAGCTGCTGCTGGAGCTGCTGCCGGACCCCGAGCTGGGGTAGGAGGGCACGGGCACAGGGGGGGCTGGGGAGAGGGGAGGGTCAGCGGACAGCGGGCCCTCCCTGCACTGGGGACAGCTGAGGAGGCCGCTAAGCCAGGCCAGCTCAGGGAGGCGGAGGGCAAGCATGCCCGTCCCCCATGGCTTTGGAGGGGGGCAGGGGGGAGGAAGGGGAGGGGAAAGAGCCCCCAGCTGCCCCCAAGCCGCTCAGCCGTCCCCCACCCGCCCAGCCTCCCCTCCCTGCCGCCCCCCAGCCTCCCCCCCTCACCGCCTCCCCCCTCACCGCCCCCCACGCTGCATCACAGCCACCCCGCGGCCGGCTCGGGCCGCTTGAGGGGCGCAGCGCGGGCCTGGCCCAGGGTGTTGCGCGCAGGACTCACACTTCCGGATGGAGGTGCTGGCGTCTAAGAAGGGGTGCTGGAAGAACTCGTCTGTGGAAAGAAGACCACGGCCCGGCTCCTGAAGGCCCCGGGGCCACTCAGGCCAGCGGCCTGAGCGAGGGGGAGAGGCGGGGCCACGCTGGGAGGCGGGACTGTGTGGGGAGGCGGGGCTGTGTGGGGAGGCGGGGCTGTGTGGGGAGGCGGGGCCACGCTGGGAGGCGGGACTGTGTGGGGAGGCGGGGCCACGCTGGGAGGCGGGACTGTGTGGGGAGGCGGGGCTGGAGGCGGGGCTGTGTGGAGAGGCGGGCGGCAGGGGGAGGCTGCGCTGTGATGCTCACCAAAGTCCATGCGGTCTCTGTGGCTGCGCTGCAGCAGAGCCAGGAGCAGCTGCCGCAAGGGGGCGGAGGTCTCCCGGGGGATGCTACACAGGGCAAGAGAGGGCGAGCTGACCGCATCTGGCGGGATGCCCAGAGGTCAGGGAGAGGGGAGCTGGGGAGGGGAGCTGGGGAGGACACACCAGGGTCAGGGGAGGGGAGCTGGGGAGGGGAGCTGGGGAGGACACACCAGGGTCAGGGGAGGGGAGCTGGGGAGGGGAGCTGGGGAGGACACACCAGGGTCAGGGGAGGGGTGCTGGAAAGGACACACCAGGGTCAGGGGAGGGGTGCTGGGAAGGACACACCAGGGTCAGGGGAGGGGTGCTGGGGAGGGGTGCTGGGGAGGACACACCAGGGTCAGGGGAGGGGAGCTGGGGAGGACACACCAGGGTCAGGGGAGGGACACTTACACGGGGGTCAGTGTCTTGTTCTTTTCGTAGAACAGGCGCAGGTCCTGTGGGCTGCTGGCCTGTGGGGTGGCAAGGCGGGACACAGCTCCCTGCAGCCCTGCTCCTGCTGCGGCCTGCTCGAGCCCGTCCCTCCCAAGTGGCCCTCGGCCAGGAGCACAGGCTAGCTCGGCTGCCACGTCCACGCCTGGCCTTGCAGGACTGTGTGGGTGCTCACCCTGCGCCCAGAGCTGTGGGGTCTCACCTGGAAAGGGGCCTTCCCGGTCAGACACTGGTAAACGATGGTGCCAATGCTCCACAGGTCCGCCTTCCCGTCGTAGTGCTGGGACATGATGACTTCAGGGGCCTGTGGGGGGCGCAGAAGGGACCTCAGAGCCCTACACGGGCCCGAGGCCGGGTGTGGCAGAGCAGCGCCACCCTGCAGCCTCCCCTGGATGGAGGGCTGCCCCTCCCCGCTCAGCAGGCCCTCTGTGGGGATGGAGAGAGGTCACGCACCATGTACATCGGAGAGCCGCAGAGGGTGGCTGCCATCATGTTGCTCTGGAGGTACCGGGCAAACCCGAAGTCGGCTGCGGGAGACACAGGGACGGGGAGGCGTCAGCAGGGTCGGGCTGCGCAGGGGCCACCCCAGCGGCCGGCCCCCAGCCTCACCAATCTTGACACGGATGTTGTTGGGGTTGGCGCGGCGTCCCCCGGGGTTGGACAGCAGGATGTTCTGAGGCTTCAGGTCCCGGTGGATGATGCCCTTGCTGTGCAGCAGCCGCATGGCGCCGGCAATCTGCTGCAGGAAGAGCCTGATGGTGTCCTCACTCAGCGTGCGCATGGCTGTAAGGTGAGGCAGGCTCAGGGCACAGGCAGCTCGCCCAGGCACGCGGGGCTCACCCCTGCAGGGAGCAGCGTCCACCGTCTGGCCAGCTCCAACTCTGCCCACAGGCTTGGAAAGCACAGGCCTTCTCTTCCCTGTCCCCTGCTGGCTCTGCATGCCATCTTCCCACAGCCCCTGGTCCCCCTCCAGGCCACCCCAAAACAGCCAGCTCTTTGGGCTCCTGACTACACTGTTTCCTCTGTTTGCGGGTACCCATCTAAACCCAGCATCTTCCTCAGACCCCCAAAAGAAAGAGGCTTAGCCGCTGTTTTGGAGCTGGTTGGGGACGCCTGCACTGAGCCCTGGTGTGCCCCCCAGGTGCCCACCTCTCACTCCTTGCTTCCATCGGAGCCTAGATCTGGCCTAACACGCACAAAGTGTGGGAACTGACCAGCAAAGACCCAGCTGCTCCAAATCCAGGGTCCAGGAAGCAGCCACCACCACAGGGAACAAGAACACAGGCAGACAACAGTGCCAGGGACCAAGGCCTAGGTCTGAGCGGCCCCTCACCTCCGAGCCACCCTGCAGGCCCGGGGGTGCTCCTAGACTCATCTGCTCAGCTCAGCCACAAGCCACTGTCTCTCTGTACCCCTGGGGGCTGGCACCCCAGGGCCCCTGTCAGCAGGGGGGTGAGCCCCAAAGCAGAAAAGCTACCCACATGGGGTCAGGTCTCAACATCTGTGTCTCGGTCTGAGGGACCGCCTGGCCAGGAGATCTGAAGAAGCCCTCTGTCCGGTGTGCCACCAGGCCTTGCTAGGCCCCCCCCCACAGCCCCTGTGGCCCTGAGTGATCAACCCCCAGGTGCCAGGCTCCAGCACTAAGACTGGCCCGGTCTCCACCTGCTGGGGCCGTGTGGACGCCCCCCCCATGCTCTGCACCACCCATCCTTGCCCTCAGCATCGCCCCTCCCGCTGCTGTGCACACCCTCTGTCCACCCCCATGTCCTCCAGTCCTTCTGGCCAAACTCACCCCACACACCAAAATAGATGCCTCCAGGGGCTGGGAATGGGGCTCAGCACACACAAGGCCCTGGGTTCGATTCCTCAGTACCACATACACAATACATGTTCACAGTGGCACTGTGGCTCAAGTGGTAGAGCGCTAGCCTTGAGCAAAAACTGCTGGGGGGGAGGCTGGGGGAGCAGGGGGGAGGGCTGGGGAAACAAAGGAGGAGGCTGCAATGCTTGATAAGAAATGTACTCATTATCTGGCCCATGTAATTGTAACCCCTCTGTACAGTATTTTCACAATTAAAAAAAAAAATGATGTCTCCCTGGCAACACTATGAATGGAGCAGGAAGCCAGCACCTATGGCTCCCGCCTGTAATTCTAGCTACTCAGGAGGCTCAGATCTGAAGGACCACAGATCAAGGCCAGCCCATGCAGACGCCATCTCAAAAACAACCAACAAAAAGCAGGACTGGAGATACAACTCAAGTGGTAGAGTGCCAGCCCAGCATGCTTAAGGCCTCAAGCTGAAGCCTCATTCTTCCAAAACAAGCCAACAAACTGGGGAGCCGTCTCCTCCCTGCAGCACTTACGGAGCGGAGCCCCGCCCCCACTCAGTGCTCCCCAGATCCTTCCCGCAGCTCACGGCTCACGCAGAACATCCACACTGCCAAAGCAGAGCCTAACCATTCTGCTCACAGAGAACATCCACACTGCAAACCATTCTGGCCACAGCCATCCCTCAGCAGAAGCCTCAAGGAGTAGCTGTGGAGAGGGCAGGCAGCCAGAACCAGGGCTGAGAAAGGCCCAGCAGCAGCATCGCCTGGCCGTGCAAGTCCACTCACTGTGCAGGTAATCAGCGAGGTCCCCGCCGTTGCAGTACTAGAAAGACCAGCGACAGCGTCAAGGAGTGGCCGGTCCTGTCCACCTCCACCCTCACCCCCCCGCCCCTCCCTCATGCGCCCTCCTCCTGGAGATGTCAATGGTGAATGTCCACTACCCCCAGCCCTGCCCTGTCCCTCTCAATACTGAGCACGAGGGGTAGGTGTCAGCCTCTGCTCTGTCCTGGCCCAGTAATGGGGGACGCCTTCATTCCACGCTGTCTCAGACCCGCAGGAACTCACCTCCATGACCAGGTAGACAGAATTGGCCATTTCCTGCAAGACAGAGCAAAGGCCATGAGTGATGGGAAGAGCGGCCTGCTCTCACGGGACGCTGCTTGTGGCTGCTCTGGGCACTCAGGACCACAGCTCCACCAGCCATCTGCCTACAGAGCTCAGGCAGAGTAGATACAGCCAGGCCCCCACGGCCCTTCTGGACCAGCAGAAATACAGCCTGAGTGACAGGAGGGCCACGGAGGCGGGGCCTGGACTCACTGGTCTGGTCCTGAGGCCTGCCTCCTGGGAGGCCTGTCCACGAGGAGCCATTGTACCCTCTAGGGTTCAGAACAGGTATGGGTGGAACCTGACCTCCAGCTCCAGGAGCTACCAGCTTCCAGCTCCAAAACCAACGACGCCAACAGATTACTGGTTGGTGCGCCAGCTGAGTCAGCAGCTGCTCTCAAATGCCTGGCCCTACCGGTGGGCCCACTGCACTGTGCCCAGACCTTGATTCCAACAGGGAATCATCCTGGCCACTCTGTCCACGTCCAGCCAGCAATGCCAGCCAGCTTCCTTCTTGCCACCCACTCAAGGCAGATGTCTACACCTGAGTGTTAGAAGCATGCTCCCTTCTGTGAACAAGCGCTCATCAACAGCCCTGCCTGGTGTCCCGTGAACAGCACCCGCTGATGGCTACCAGGCTCAGTGTGTGCCCATGCTAGGCCCTGACCAGCCACTCCTCAAAGCAGCTGGGAGAGCTATCTATCCTCCTGGCCATTTCAGAGGAGAAACTGAGGCCCAGGGTCCAATCCGAGTGAGCAGGATGGTCTTAGGTCTTCCTTAGCTGGGGGCAGTACCACTGGTCAGCCAGGAGTCCTCCTCACCACCCACCCCTCACCCCTCCTCCCGCAGCCTAGACCAGATTCACAAGGCTGCCCACCCTTAGGACACCCCACACCCAGCCACAGGACTCCAGACGCAGCCACTGAGGCTGCAAAGCAGGACGCAGGGGCACTCAGAAGTCCAAAGCTCTGAAACAGGCTTTCAGAGACACAGGGGCCAAGGCACAGCTCAGGACTAGGGCCAGGCCCCGACCAGTGGCTGCCCTGCTCCACCTGTCAGCCACAGTGCCCCGCACACCCTAGACACGCAAGGTACTCAATGCCCAGCCAGCCTGGCAGGCCCACAGAGCCCCTGCCCCTGCTCAGTTCCCACACCCAAGACTGAAGAGCCACAGGTGAGCAAACTTCTAGAAGACTGGCAGGAAGCTCTGCCTGCCAGTGGCACCACCCATTCCTCTACCCCTGAGCTGCAAAAGGCAGGGGTGGGGAAGGGAGAGGCCTAGGGCCAGACCCAGCATGTTCCCAAGTGTGCCCAGGATCCAGACAGGCAAGGACGGGCAGGGAGGCCTGCAGGCCAGCAGCAAGGAAGGCTGGCGGGCCCCACCCCAGATGACAAGCACCGCACCTAGTCCACCTCTGCCCCCCAGGCCAGCTGTGGTAAGAGATACGAGTCTCAGCCACAGGGTGGGAGGCAGCCAGAGACTGGACCGGAGCCAGAGCCCACAGACAGCTCAGGCAGGCAGGAGGTGACAGATAACAGCCCCAAAACAGCCTGGGCACAGCAGCACCACGTGGTTCCCCGCTGCCGAGATGTTTCTCCAAGAAGCCTCCGCAGCCAGGGCCTCTGGGCCCCTTGTCCTGGGTGGGACAAGGCCAGCCAGGGTTGGCGGGGTGGGTCTCAGGCGCGTCTTCAGGTGGCCCAATCCCAGCCAGCCAGGGTTGGCGGGGTGGGTCTCAGGCGCGTCTTCAGCTGGCCCAATCCCAGCCAGCCGGGGTTGGCGGGGTGGGTCTCAGGC